TCCCTCCCCTGTCACGGCTCTCTGCCGTGACAGGATCGAGAGGAGAGCGAACGCCGGTATGTGTTCGCTCACTTCCCGATCTACTGAGCCAACCTGTTACAGTCTCATTGTCACAGGTCGGCTAGAACTATGAGGGGAGTGAAAAGCCCCCCCCCCCCCCTCATAGTTCTCCTTTTAAATATTAAGAGAAGTTGCCTTGTGTTCTTCTGAAATCTCCTATATCAGAGTTTTGACCCCCTGCGTTTGTAAACGATGCATATAAGTAGCTGGTGGTGGTCACCGTGGCAAGTTTGTATTGGTCTGGTTGGTCTGTATGAGCTATTACGCAGCAGATTTCCCCTCGGCTCCCTGGAAGGGAACGGCTGGGGCTATAATTATCCTAAAAGAGGATATGGCCGCAGACTCACTACGCATTCTTCGCTAAATATGTTACTGTAAATATGTCAGGCGGACGCTGCGATCTTACTTGCGCCTGCATGAAAGGTCGGAAGATGTCACACGGATTGCTGTTAATCTCTGCACATGTGCCCGCTGAGCATGATCCTGCATTCCTTAAAGTGAAACTATTATACAATTCCATTGAGGTGACGTTTTGAGTCATTATTTTAACCTTTACCTTTAGGATATTTTTGGATGTGACTTTGATATTTTTGCCTCTTTCCTGATCCATAGTTTCTGATTACAAATACATTCTCTCTAGTCGCCATCTGTATCAGACAGTAGAGTCAGCAACTCTGCTAAACAGAGACAACATTAACCAGTTGACATCCGCGGTGTTAAACCCCCTTCCCATCCAGGCCATTTTTCAGTATTCAGCGCTGCGGTACTTTGGCTGACATTTATTCCGTCATGCAGCGCTGTACTGAAATGAATTTTATACCCTTTTTTGGGGACAGATAGAGCTTTCTTTTGGTGGTATTTATTCATCACTGGGGGTTTTATTTTTTACTATATTAAGGAAAAATCACCGAAATGTAAAAAAAAAAACAGTTTCCCCTATATTAAATGATGAAACATTTATTATTACCCAATTTTTTGGTAAAATATAAAAGACGGGGTCACGTCGGGTAAAAAGACCCCAAACATGTCAAGCCGTAAAATTGCGTGC